CAACACATTCTCCAGGAACGGTCTTACCAGGAATATACAAAAGACTATATATAAATATTGTGTACACTTGCTTGTTTTCAATACATTTTGTTCTAAGTACATTTTGTGTTGCATTATTATTCCATGCATTAGTCAAGTTTCAACACTAAATGAACTCATTCTGTATCTTGCCTGACAAAAGTGTTGCAGAATGTGAATGCGACTTGACATAATCCAAGTGACGCTGTAACAGAGGATCGTACTTGCTAAGTAGCTTGACGAGTGCAAGAAAATTACCGGGATTATTACTTGATATCCACGACTTCTCAGTGTCCACGAAATGCCAGATGTGGTGTCGCCAAAAACATAATACAATCCACAAAACACCTGAGCAATATCCTTCCACAATTCCTTTTGTTCCTCCATAGGCGTCAGTATTAATCTGTTAATCCTTAATCCTTCTGATATGCGTTTCTAAATTCCTTTCCAAACAAGAAATGACACGATGATGAGTGTCCTGTTCATGTTCTCGTATTCTTTCTTTATATATTTGTTTTCCATTTTCGAAATCCACAAGAATTTTTGAATACGGTACTTAGGTTGAATGGGCTGATGAAAACAAAAGACAGCAAAAACAACACACTGCACCATTTTTAATAGGGTACAATAACTAGTTAGGCGTGATCGTAGACTCTAATTCGTGAAGCTGCTGGTGACACCAATATTACAGTTCTACTGTAAATAACACCATGACAACACCACCGTAAAGACTGAAATAATCAAAAGGGGTCAATATCAGAATCTATCTTGACTTAACAGCCAATACATATATACGTTGCAATAAAGCATTTGCCCTATATTCCCAGCGGGAGTGCATGGTTTTCTGTAATAAACTTCAAAGACATTCATTGTGTTTCACGGCATAGTATAATCATATAATAATAATAATAATAATAATAATAATAATAATAATAATAATAATAATTACAATTCTATGGGATTACACAATACACACTGACAGAACAATCAAAGCCAACCGCCCAGATATTATTATTAAAGACCACAAACAAAAAAAGTGCCTCCTTATTGATATGGCAGTCCCTGCTGACTGCAATGTATCTTTGAAGATATTCAAAAAGCTGTCAAAATACAAGGACCTTGAAATAGAAATCTCGAAAATGTGGCATATGGGAACATCAACAATTCCTGTTGTAGTTGGAGCCCTAGGACTGGTTGGAAAAGATTGCAGTAGACTAATTGAAGGGATTCCTGGAAGTCCATGCCTCAAGGAGATACAAAAAATTGTTCTGACAAGTACAGCCCACACTTTACGAAGTGCTTTATCTATGTAATTATTTTTTTTTTTTTTTTGTCAGTGGAAAGTGTCATGATGCCATTTCTAACCTTAGGTCCCTGGACGGGACCCGGATAGAAATGTTTAAACGCCAGAAATCAAAGAAAATAAAAAGAATAATAATAATGATATTGCAGCGAAGGCTACAAAAACACCCTGCAAAACTTTTGCCATCGCTAACGACAACCAAAATTGTACCATAAAACTCGTAAATCTTTTTGCATCAAAATCCTGTATATGGGAATATACGGTACGTTATATCCGACACTAAGTAACAATAAGATCAATATGACTAAATCTTTTTATATATTCATTGAAATGCTATGACCTATCAATTGAGACGAGAAGAAAAATTACCATTATTATCATTTCACAAAGGTACGCTGGGTTTACCATCCCAGGAATACACCTTAAAACATTAATATGGATTAGTATTTAATCTGGCCTTAACCGATGGAAAACAGAATTAAATAACATTTTTTGGTGTTTCTTTAACACATTTCACGTTTTGGCCGCCATGCGTTTCCGTCCGCACTGCGCATGATCGAAAAACTACTGAGCGCCGTCGCCAAAATAATTCATGATGCGCTTTTAATGAAACCTGCGGTCAGTCACAAAAAGAATATTAGGGTAAATAAAGAGGCGGAAAATTTAGGTCCTCCTTCACTACTTTTTGTATTAATTTCCCAACATTTTCGCTGTTAAATGCGTTAAAATGCGTAAAACTTAATTTTTCACCACATCTAAATAAGTTTAGTTAGATTGGGTTTAGTTAGTTTGGCGAGATTTTTACGCATTTTTTTTAATTTTTTTTTTTTTTGTGCAATTCACTCCCAGTCACGGCAATGACGGTGCTCCCAAGCAACCCAAATTAAGCGAGCCTTGACTTCTCTACTGTTAAGCCCTAGCAGGTTAGGTGGAAGATAGTTACACCATTCCAAGTGTAATTGTGTGAAACTGAATGCAGTGTACAACTAAAGCGCATAATATGTCGATTCTCGCTACAGAATTCTTTTATGTATCATAAAGATTCTCTGGAACTGGAACTGAACTCATCGACCAAGGACATTATAAAACAAACCTGAATTTCATTGTCTATAAACATCGCCAACTTGGAGACCAGGGCATTGAAATTTTCGGCTTCTGGACGACCTCTTCTCGATGGTCAGGTTCTCATTGTCAAGTGTTAATTACCGTCTAAGATTTCTGTCTCCTGTCGCTTGAGGACACGCGTATTGTTTGTTTCAAGTTGATACGGCTGAATAAACGTTGACAAAGAGCGCGTTGAGGCTTTGTTTTGTCCAGTGACCAAGCGAAGAGATCATTTAGGTCAGTTCACTGGTTTCATGGCAATCGATCTTTTGGCAAAGATAATCAGAGCAGGAGGTTGTCTTGCAGAGAATTACCTATTGATTATTCTATTTTAGTCTTATCATATCTATTCATTGATCTGTCAACTTTTGGATATCGATTTTCTGGACTTTGGATAGCCCTTTCAGCTAATTCATATCTGTCTTCACTTGTCAGCCTGTTTTTAGTTCTTCCCTTTTCTCTTCCTCTCTCTCTCTATCTACACACACACACACACACACACACACACACACACACACACACACACACACATATATATATATATATATATATATATATATATATATATATATATATATATGCTCAATATACGTATAAAGAAAAAAAAATTTACGAGGAGAAGTTAAAAAAATAAGGAGAGCAGCGTAATTTTTTAAATACATATATATATAAATATTTTATTTTTGGGGATTTTATTGTTTATATATATATATATATATATATATATATATATATATATTAATTTATTTATGGATTTATTCTTTATTAATTATTTTCCCTGTAATAATAAATACATTGAGCTTTTTCGTGGACAAGTTTTAATATTTTATATGACTAGGATCCACTTGGATTAGATAACAACAGATTTGTTACCTTTTAACATATATATATATATATATATATATATATATATATATATATATATATATATATATATATATATATATATAAATATATATATATATATATAAAAGAAAGAACAATAAGATATATAATCCGGTGTTCTTATAGATATTTTTATTTTTACAAAATAGTGCTCAATGTAAATTTACAGAGCATTAATATTTTGAAACATGGTTAGAACTGTGTAGCGAAAAAACATATATATATATATATATATATATATATATATATATATATATATATATATATATATATATATCTGATCACAACGTTGACATAAAAACATGCTACCATAATCAAAGGAGAAAATAACTCACTATGACGTAAATATCATTTAATTTAATGCCAAGTTCATCTACAGTAAATTTGCGCCTTGGTTCATACAACATTTCAAATTGAAAAAAGCTTCGTGATCAAAATAATTGCGTATGACTCAACAACGCCATTGTTCAGTGTTCGGGTTTAGATAAAAACTGAAAGTTTAATTGCCGAATTTCAAGGTAGGAAAGGATTTTTCTCTTAGGATTATTGACACAACTCAATCGTTACCTGATATCTGTCCTCCCATGTGTCACCTCAAAGAGGAAGAGGAGACATGAAAGAACAGAAATGTGGTTCTACAGAAGGATGCTGAGGATATCATGGAGGGAATAATAATGTAAGTTTTAGAGAAAATGGAAACACAAAGGAAACTTATACTTAACATCAGGAAAAGACAGCTGAAATTTCTAGGATACATAATGAGGAAAGGAGACTTGAAAAATCTAACGCTCACAGAGCAGATTGAGGTCAAAAGGGACAGAGTAAAACAATGGGATAATTAGTGTCAGTTATGTGTCTTACGTGATACACGTTTAGGAGATCATGTATCGAAAGATACATGACTGACGAGGCAGATTTTTCCCCCGCAGTAGGTTGCTATTTCTTTCTGCGGTAGTTACTATCCAAGGATATAGACCCCGATCTGTCGTGTCATTTACCCATAGACTTGGAGGAGAAGAAGAGGATCCATGGCTTTACTAAGGGCATTAGCACGTAAGTGAATGTAATGGATTCGACTGGAATTCGAACTCGGCTCTGCGATTTCTCAATCTGAGCCGCTATCCATTACTCCTCAACGTGATTAAATTTATGGCGGAACAGGGTTTAGAAGGATTAACAAAAAGACAACATTTCTTTAGAGCTCAAAGGAGAGGATATTATGGAGAGCCATGATCGCTTATCTCCGGTTGAGACACGGCACATGAAGTATATTTTTCCAACTAGATGCCTAAACATTTATTAATATACAAGGTGTCAATGGCATTTTAGTGATTATTACTGAATATTCATTTTGACAAGATGCTCAAGACCTTCGGCCTTGTGCCAGACTATAAAGAATTTGTTAAATATCAAGAGCCATATTTCGATTTGGCAATGTTTAGCAAGCAAGTGTCAAAAGTCATTACTACTATAGACGGACTGAGTTTGAATTCTTGCCGCAAATTATTGGGCTTGTGCCAGATTAAGCTTAACTTCTGGTTCGCCAAAGAAAATGAAGAGAAAGTGAGAAGGGAAAATTAAGTCGACATTGAGAAAGAACGAAAGAGAAAAAACAAAGAAGAAGAACGAAAGAGAAAGAAAGAAACGAAGGGAAAGATAAAAAAAAATAGATAAATTGATTTTGAAAAGATCAAATAAATAGAAAGAAAGAAAGAAAGAAAGAAAGAACGGGTGAAAATAAAGAAGTGGCATTTGCTAAAAGAAAGAAAGAAAGAAAGAAAGAAAGAAAGAAAGAAAGAAAGAAGAAAGAAAGAAAGAAAGAAAGAAAGAAGGGGAGAAAGAAAGAAAGAAAGGAAGGAAGAAAGAAGGAAAGAATGAAAGAAAGAAAGAAAAAAGGAAGAAAGAAGGGAAGAAAGAAAGAAAGGAAGGAAGGAAGAAAGAATGGAAGAAAAAAGAAAGGAAGGGAGAAAGAATGGAAGAAAAAAGAAAGGAAGGAAGAAAGAAAGAAAGAAGGGAAGAAAAAAGAAAGGAAGGAAGAAAGGAAGAAAGAAAGAAAGAAAGAAAGGTAGGAAGAAAGAAAGAAAGAAAGAAAGAAAGAAAGGTAGGAAGAAAGAAAGAAAGAAAGAAAGAAAGAAAGAAAGAAACGAAAGAAAGAAAGAAAGAAAGAACGAAAGAAAGAAAGAAAGAAATGAAGAAGAAGGGAAGAAAGAAAGGAAGAAATAAAGAAAGGAAGAATGAAGGGAAGAAAGAAAGAAAGAAAGAAAGAAAGAAAGAAAGAAAGTAAGAAAGGAAGGAAAAAAAAGAAAGACAGAAAGAAAGAAAGAAAGAAAGAAAGAAAGAAAGAAAGAAAGGAAGGAATGAAGCAAGAAAGAAGGGAAGAAAGAAGGGAAGAAAGAAAGAAAGAAAGGAAGAAAGAAAGAAAGAAAAGAAGAAAGAAAGAAAATAAATGAATGGCAAGAAGGACGAAAATAGTGAAAATAAATAAGTAGCATTTGCTAGAAGAAAGAAAAAAAGAAAAAGAAACAATCAGAAAAAAAGAAGGAAAGAAAGAAAATGAATGGAAAGTCGAAGTTTGAAAAGAAAGAAAGAAAGAAAATGAATGCAAAGTTGAAGATGGAAAAGAAAGAAAGAAAGAAAATGAATGGAAAGTCGAAGTTTGAAAAGAAAGAAAGAAAGAAAATGAATGCAAAGTTGAAGATGGAAAAGAAAAGAAAGAAAATGAAAAAGTGAAGATGGAAAAGTTGAAGAAAGAAAAATGAATGAAAAGAAAAAGAAAGAAAGAAAGAAAATGAATGCAAAGTTGAAGATGGAAAAGAAAGAAAAAATAAAAGTAAATAAAGCAGTTGAATTTGAAAAAAAAAAGAAACGAAGTAGGAATAATAATGAATGCATAGCAGACAGAGAGAGAGAGAGAGAGAGAGAGAGAGAGAGAGAGACAGAGACAGACAGAGACAGACAGAGACAGACAGATTGGTGGGGAGAGACCAATTGTAGAACGCGTTTAAAGAGAGAAATGTGAAAAGATTCTTCGAACTCGCGGTGAAAATAAAAATAAAGGAGTAGAGCCTATTGACGGTTGACGACGTCGAAAATGACTAAAGCTGAAGTTAATATTCTATTAAGTTGAAATGTTAGCCATTATTTCGAATGATGGGTTCGAGATTTACGCATCCAACAAAGACTCTGGACGAGATTTTTGGCGCGTTCGATTCTCGCACCTCCAGAGACAACACATTTATATTTGACACACATGGCACAGAATTATACCAACGAAATACTACAGCCTACACATACAGACAGACGTGCATATATATATATATATATATATATATATATATATATATATATATATATATAAAAAAAAAAAAACTTAAACACTAATATTCTATGGTCATAATTTATTCCATTGGAATCGTAAATACGATCCAAATCATCAGACCTATAAATTCAAATTCTTCCTCTTGGAAATTTTTTTTTTTCTGAAAATATACATGTATGGGTATTTTTTTATATGTATTTTGCATATGTATGTATATTTTCCACTAATATATATATATATATATATATATATATATATATATATATATATATATATAAAATAAAGAATACATAGTTAACGTATATGAATCTAACTAATCTAGTATGTTTCACTTTTATTAAAGCTTCGTCAAAGATTGAGAGAAAAAAAAAACTTCCATTTTCCAATATTTCCAATTATGTTTGAATCAATTCTAATTGGTCAGTCACGTATCACGTGCGTTAAAATGGTAGATAATTTTATGTATGTAAGTTTGTTAAGATTCTTCTATGTCTTTTAGGAGAAATATTTTGAAAACTTAATAATAATATTATTACCAACTATAAACACATACCTAAATCATTACGTTACATCGTCATCTTTCTTTGAATCCATTCTTAAAGAATCTGATATATGTCTAATACAAAGAATAGATGCTTAAAGTGACCAGCAATAGATAAGAATGAAGTGATACTCCGCTGTGCTGACTGACCACAAAAAATGTGAAAACATTGGAATTCCACTAGACAGACACACATACGCAATTACCCGCTTAGACAGTGTAGTGGTAACAGAAAGAAGGGAATAGGGAGTTCATGCCCAACAAAGAATCAAAAGAAAATTCGACGAGTGTTATAGCGTGTTCCGAATTGCTTTGATTGATTTGTTTTCTACGGCATATCAATCAATTGCGGTGTTTTTAAAGCCAGAAAATATTTTTAGATTGTAAGAATTTGTTCGATCTTCCTCGATCCATAGTTTATGGTGCCACACATCCTGTTTTAGCAACACGACGATAAACAGCAGAAAAGTTTGGATGACTACCTTCAGTCTGGAAACTCAATCTGATACAGCCGTGCAGCCCCGCGTCCATTACCATTCGCGCGCCGTATATAAAAATCATATCTGCCTGCTCCCGATTTGAATATTCTGCCATTGTTAAACGGAACTACTTCTCAGTGAACTCACTACCTCACACGTTAAACGTTGAAGCCAGAACTAGCCACAAATGTACACGAATGACAAATGTAACCTAGTCTAAATGTCAACACAGCGCCAGCTACTGTAAACTTTTTTTACTCTAAAAAAATGAAAGATTTGAGAACATGTTTATATGAACTTTTGTTCTTTGTTTACGGTATATTTAAAGCCAGAAAATATCCTTACATTGAAAGAAATTTTTCTGTGAAGATAATAATCTTTTAGCGATACAAGTCTTACTAATTAACCCAGAGATGGGCGGGAAGAGGCGCATACATACCTTTCATGTTGGATTCGTTATCACTTAGGCGCAAATTTGATAAGAAACCAACATGACTTGGAACTTGGCTGTGACGTGGTTGTCTCAGGGTTGATCCGTTGGTTCTCAGGGTTGATCCTGGTCGCGGCACCACTTGTGACGGTTACACACCTGGCCCAGTGTCGGATCCTTTGGTTACGGCGCCAACGGTGACGTCGCTCCTCCTGGTCGTTCCTCCTGGGTCCAAGCGTGCCGCTCCAACCCTTTGGTCAGATGATCACCAGCCTCGCCTTTCCCGACTCGCTTCCAATACCTGGTCACTAAAGCAACTATACCGATCTCCGGTCTGTCTACCCACGCTGTGTTTAGATCTTAGACAGACGGGACCAGCAGGGATCGGGGCCGATACAAGTTGAGTCCGACGGGGGTGGCAAAACACAAATAAAATAAAACTCACGACACCAAACAAAATTGTTGATAAAAAGGGTAACAACCTTTTTATATCTTAAAGTCCGTTACATAAAAACAAAATTGTTCTCAATTCCCGACCCGCTCTGTGGACTATGGCACCAAGCTTCTATCACACAATAGGAAAATGTCGAATTACCTACTTTCTAGAATCATGTATGTATGTCGGAGTGTGGTTCAGTTCGACACTGGGGCTAATTTCTATCGATCATTCGCAGTTGATTCTTCTCTCCGACTTGAGTTGTATTTCTTCTTCTTCTTCTGTTTAGACTGGTAGATTTCTTGTTTCAACCCAGTGGAAGATTTCTTGCTTCGATTCAGTGGAAGATTTCTTGCTTCGATTCAGTGGAAGATTTCTTGCTTCAATTCGGTGGAAGATTTCTTGCTTCAATTCGGTGGAAGATTTCTTGTCTTCAACTTGGGCTGGAAGGATTTCTTGTTTCGAGGATTCTTCTGTCGTCCGAGGGTGAACTGCAACTCACGCCCAACCTAACTCCAACTTCAACTCAACTTCTTCAGCTCCAACTTCTTCTCAGGTTTTCAGGTTTTCAAATCTTCTTCTTCATCTACTTGGGCTGGAAGTTCTTCTGTCTTCGACTTGGGCTGGAAGTCCTTCTGTCTGAGGGTTCTTTTGCCCGCAAAGGGGGCGAGTGAATCGGGTCTTATGTCCGCGTTCAGGATCTTCCCCTGCCCGCGGTCCTGCTGCAACTCAGCCCAACTCCGGCTGCATCTCCAACTCAAACTGATTTCTGTCGACTGGGGTCCTGCTTATATTGACGCCGCAACAAACTGGGGTGGGTCTGTCGGCGTCAGGGTTTTCTCGATAATTCCAAAAGTCGTATTAATTTTGACTTTCCATTATCGTTATTGTTTTCACCCCTACTTTCTCACAGAGCTCTTGGTGGGGCGGCGCATATCTATTTCTCTTAGTCTCTCTCATGTCAGGTGATCGCTCTCAACCAATCGTTCCCGATCGAACCTTTCTTTCTCTTCTTTTCCGCAGCCCACGTGACCGCCTCGTCCAACAGTTATTGATCGAGGTTTTCTTTCCTTCTTCTTCCGCGGTCACGTGATTGTATTCGACCAATTGTTATTGACCGAACACCCTCTCCCTTTTGTTTGCGGGCGTGGTTACATCGTTCTTGTTTAAAAAAAACAAAATCCAATTTTGCCCCTTTTTGCACGTACGCAAAATGACAATCTTTAGCTTTCTTTCACCTGGACTTTGTCAAACAGCCCGCTGCTAATTAGTCTTGACTTTAGAAAAGGTTCTTTTCCGCCTTCTTGGCGCCCTCTGTGGTCCAAAACAATTGCTCTTCTTTTTTTACCTCTTTGTTTTTCCTGATAGTCGAAAAAATCTTAATTATCTAGGTCGAAATATCTCTACTTTCTTAACGTGGGTGTCCAATTCTTAACAGGTCAATTCCGTATATCGTTTTCACCAGTCACTTCCCCAACCCAAAGACACTTTCTCTCAGATCACAAATTTCGTTTCTATTGTTCAAAAGAAAAAAAAAATAAAATTTCTCTTCACTCCAAATTGATAAGGGTTTTCCACGCAAGAGTCGGTCAGAGGCCTCTGACCGACATCTGGTCGATATCATGTCTTTTTCCTTTCTTTCTTTTATTATTTCCAATTCTATTCTTCCCTTTGTTTTAAAAAAAAAAAAAGTCGACCACACGCAGACCTATCTCTACCATCAACTGGGTCATGCGTCATACATTTCTCTTTCTTTCTTTTCTTTTCTTCCTTCCTTTTTCTTTTCTTTCCTTCTTCTTTCCTTAGGATCGTCTAGTACATTCTTAGTGAATTATTTTCAACTCAGTTATTTTCCGTTTTTAAAAAAAAATTAACAACCTGTTTAATAAACTGAATAAGAAAAAATTAACTCATATTTCTATGAATATTTCCAATAAATGCAAGGTGCCATAATCCTCCCCTAACCGATTTGTCATTTACCCGTAAATGACACCTAAACCCAATTACATCATTTAACATGCACCATGCATTTGTCTCATGCAATTCTATTCTACTTTCTAACATGCAATGGTAATGTTCTTTTTCCATTTTCTTTTGTTCTACATGCAATGAAATGTTCTTTTCATTTTCTTTTTGTTCTACATGCAATGAAATGTTCTTTTCATTTTCTTTTGTTCTACAGGCAATGTAATGTTCTTTTCATTTTCTTCTGTTCTACATGCAATGAAATGTTCTTTTTTCATTTTCTTCTGTTCTACATGCAATGAAATGTTCTTTTCATTTTCTTTTGTTCTACATGCAATGTAATGTTCTTTTTCATTTTTTTTTTTCCACATGCAATGAAATGTTCTTTTCATTTTCTTTTTGTTCTACATGCAATGAAATGTTCTTTTCATTTTCTTTTTTTCATCTACATGCAATGAAATGTTCTTTTCATTTTCTTTTGTTCTACATGCAATGAAATGTGTGCGTGTGTCTGTAGGTGCAGATGTGTTCTTTAGGGTTTGTTCTTCTTGGTCAATGTTTTCCTCTCTGCTGTGGGAGGTTTTTCCGCCGCACGTGGTGGTCTCACGCCAGCCTCCTCCATTGGTCTTCCAGCAATTTCTTCGCCAGTTCTGTCTGAGTGAGGAACACCGCTCGGCATCTCCCCTCGAGTTGTTGCATGCTCACTAGACTGTCGTTCGCTAATCTTCTCCTACTCTTAATCTTCCATATTATTACACCCCCTGATGGCTATAACTAGGAATGTACCCATTACTATTGACCAATTTATCGCGATCTGCTCATCGTCTTCCCAAGCTACACCTTCGTCTCCCAGCGCACTTAACTTATCTCTTAAGTGATCCATATCGATCTTTTCTATGGGCTTCATTAAAATTGGCATCTTATTTAAGGTAACATTAGAGAATCTCTTTACTATCGGCTCCCATAATTCTGTACAATTGACTAAGCCTCTACCAATCATCTCTATGAGTGAATCTTTTTCTTCATACCTTTCTTCCATCTGGTAATAGGGGGCAAGGAGATGGACACCCCAACCGCCGAACATCCCATGGGTAGCGTCACCAGGGATAACGGTGGCCTTATTCTTAATGTCCTTGTGGACTCTCCCCACATACCCTAGACAGGCTGATATGTTTCTGGGTGGCTACTGCCCACACCCCGTCTGAAACACTGATAGCTTGTGGTAATGCCGAGTTTGTTAATACCTCTACTTGGCAGATTCTTTTGATTCCTTCCCCCTTCCTTCAAACAATTCTAGTATGCACAGTTTGCGGTTACCAGTTTTATAGATAGGGCTCAACGAGGTACAAGTCCCCAGGGTATCATCTCTACACCTTCTAGCTTCTTCAGCTGATAGCAACATGAATTTCGTTCTCCCCGAATTTAATGCTATGTAGTCTGCTTCCACCTTGTACCTAGCTATCATTCCTGAAAGGTAACAAATTCTCTTGTTGTTATTCTTCACAACCACTTAGTCTCGCTCGACTCATCACTCAATCATTTCATAACTTTTCTCTTAGTTCGGCTCCTCCTCCTCTAACTAACCTCTAGCAGACAGAATGGTCCGGTCAGGTGTGCGTGGCGCCCACTCTAAAGGTCGTACTTCATGACACCACTGGTGGCCAATCAATAATGCCAATGATCTTCCGTTCCTCGTGAGGTGCAGCCCGCATCTCCATCCCCTCCACTCACATCTACCATAGTCAGCCAATAGGATCTTGGATGAGCCAGTGTCGTTATCTGTTGACACTAAATGCTTCTATTCTGCACAGCCCTTTTGTTCTACTGAGATTTGGGGTTCTTCTCCCTCCCTGATCTCATCTTCTGAGGTGATTCCTGTTCAACCTCTAACCTTCTTTCTGTGTTTAACTCCCGTCCAGGAGGTTTTTTTGTCCTCTTCTTCATC